CCACATACATCTTCATCCTTATAAAATCCCCACCTCTCAACCCAAGAAACTCTTTTCTTATTCTAATTTGGGTAAATTCTTTTTACCACCCCTATCACTGCCCTCTACACACTACCATCTCACATGCCAATCAACACTTCGTCCTGGCACCCTGTGATTATATATATATTTCCTTTTGGCACAATCACAAGCTTTGAGAGAAGAGTCAAGCTCAGTGCAAAAAACGCCATTCACCATTTCTGGACCATTTGGAAGTTTTGCCAACACAAGGGCCCTCTACTTCTGAGGGTTTCAGCCACATATCCTATTAAAGGAGAAATATTTCCCTACATTGGCCCCCTATAACCAACCAAGTGCTGAGACAACCATGAGCACACTACAACTTTCAAACACCACCCAAATCCGCCCAGCACCCCAGTGTGGTCTTTGGAACAGAAGCAGCTGGTCTGGAATCCTTCAGCTCATCTTGTGTCTCCTCAGTCCCCTTCAGCCTGAAATGGGTCTTTGGTCTTTCCTGGGCTTTTTAGACTCTGAGGCTTTTAAGGATTTCAGCCCATCATTTTGCTGGTTGCCTTCAAGCTGGCTGCCGAATACTTTCTGGTGATTAGACTGAGGTTATATAACTTTGGCAAGAATATCCCAGATGTGACTCTGAGTCCTCCTCATTAACTCTTAGCAAGTGCCCACAATTTTAACTTGCCCAGTTTCTGGAGATCACTCTCATGGTTTGATCAGGGGTGTGTGTCCGCTTCTCTGGGAGAATGTACTCTTTTCCTCTCAGTAATTAGGACATCTTTCGTGGGGAGATTTCTGGAGACTGACTATTCTTATTAAAATTTCAATTCTTTTGTTAATTCATTTATAACTGTATAGACACATGTGCTCTTATTTTATTTAATCTTAATTTGTTTCTTTTTCATAATTATTATCTGATGTATGAATTACCCCTGACCGGACTCTAGGGGCTCCTGCAGCTGGCTTCTGTGTCTTCATCTCTCTTGGGATTTTTCCTTGCATGAGATTATTTTGAGGTCCTCTTGTACTTCCCAGATCCAGACATTTTTCCAGGAAGCCCAGCTCCTTCCAGTGGCATAATGTGTTCAGAAACCAAGAGGGAGAGATGGGTGCTGCTCATTACTCTTGGGGTGTCTCTGCTCTCCTCAGCCCTTCTCAGGGGACAGAGTGAGGGAATACATGTGTGCACATGCATACACACCACAGCTGTATGCATATGCATGGGCTTACACACACGTGTGTGGACACACAGTGACATATTTGCACATGTGCGCAGCACCTCATCCCCATGTATCTGCATTTCTGTATCTATATGGGAATCCATGAGCTGTTTCTCTCTTGTGCCCTGGTGGCAATGCTATCCCTGGGGTTCATCTGGGTCTGCTCCTCTCCATCTTGGGCTGCTCCCTGTGGGCAGTGGGCACACCAGCTCCAGTTCAGTGATCAGTATGCATCTCCCCCTCCCATTCAGGCTGACCCCCACTCTGTCCCTGTGGGTCCCCAACCTGCTCCGCCCCAGAGACTCAGGACAGAGGCAGAGAGAAGTGGGCACAGCTTACTTGTTTCAACAGCTGCAGCCACTTTAGGGTCTTGCTCTGCAGTCCCCTGCTGACCAGTGAGGGCAGTGTATTCTTCCGGCTGTCTGGTCACTTACAGGTGCTCCTCATGGATGGATCCACACAGACCTGCTGCCTGTGTTTTAGTCAGGTTGAGGGTCTTATTGTGGCATTGTAAACCCATTGTTCTTCCTTCTTTCTCTCCTTCCCTCTCGCTTCCCCCATGCTTTACTTATGGGCACAGATACACATGCTGCAAATGTTTTTCCTGGGCTCTGGATGGCTCTTTTGTTTTCCTGACAGTGGCATTCAATGAGCAGGAGTTTATTTTGGTAAAGTCCAATTTACCCAGTTTTTTCTCCTGTGTTAGTGTTTCTCAGTCCTCTCTGCAAGGTTGTAGTTCTCTCCCTAGGTGTTATACAGTTTTAATTTTTACACTTAGGTTTATGATCCATTTTGAATTAGTTCCTGGGTGTGGCTCGAGTAACAGCTTATGGCTGATACTCTGGAATAGGCATAAATATTCCAGCAACATTTATTGTAAGGTATCCTTCCTGTCTGACAGTTTGTGTGTGGGTCTCATCTGGATTGTTGCCTGCACTGACCTGTACACCATCCTGTGGACCATCCACACTCCCACCAGTGCAGGGGCCAAAGCCCTGACCCTTCCTGTGCCTTTGCCTTCCATAGAGCCTCTGTGACCCCCATACAGCCTGCAAGAGGTAAACGTCTCCATGGTGGACTTGCAATCAGGCCTATTTCAACCCGGATGGCATCATTCACCCAGAATTGCTGCTTGCATGGGGACACACACCTACCAGGTGAGGCGGGGAGTCGGGAGCCAGTAAGGCCTCCTCCCCACCCAGACTGCTTGGAGGACTGTTATCACCCTTCTCTGCCTGAAGAAGAACTCTGGAGGGCCTCTAGTCTGCCAGAAGGATGGGACCTGGCTATAGGCCAATGTGGTCAGCTGGGGCAAGGATCTGCTGCTGGCCTGGGGTCTACACTCACATCCCTACCTACACGAACTGAATCCACCACCACAACCTAGAATTAAGGGTGTTGGTTGCCGTGACCCGGGCATCCCCTGGCTGCCCGTTCTAGGCAGGCCTCTTCCTGCCCAGCCTCCTGTGGCTGCTGGTCTTGGGCATCCTGGTAGCCAAGTGCCAGCTGTGCATCTGACCTTTGACCCTGGCCTGCATGGCCCCTGTCTCTTCTTCCACGCAGAGCAGAGAGGGCGAGGACCACATCCTGGACCTGCTCAGGGCCTGCAGCAGTCCTGGTCATTCCTGCCTCCTCTCCTTATGTGGGAAACATGCACAGAAAGTGCAATTAACTCCCAAGGTCTCACCAGAAGAATCTGTAGACCTCAGTGCTTTTCGTTCATATTCGCCCAACCTGCAGGACCTATGGTAGCCCTGGCAGGCGCTCAGCACCAACCCGGCGGAGGCTTGGCGACCCGACAACGTGGGCAAGTGGGGTGGATGGAGCGGCCGAGCCCTGCCCCGCTGGGTGGATGGCAGCGTGCTTCCTCTGGTGGAGATATGCGGAACTGCAGCCTCCGGACAGAGAACGGCTTCGCTGATGTGTTCAGGAGCACAGAACCTTTGAAGGGCTCCGCAGACCCTGAGTGGGTGAGCCCAGCACGGCTGTGAGACACAAAATCAACCCACAAGGATGTCTTACACCAGTGACTGGAAAGTAATCTGAAAGTCAAAACCATTGACTATAGAATAAAAAGATCAAATACTAGGCATAAAGACTACATATTGTGTTTTACACTGTCAAGTATCTTTAACTTTTTTTTTTTTCTGTACTGATGATTGAACCCAGGGCCTTGGCACTGAGTTACATCCTCAGATCTTTTTTATTTTTATTTTGAGACAACGTCTTCTAAAGTCACTCAGGGTTGGCTTGAACTTGACATCTTCCTGCCTCAGCCTCCCACAGTGCTTAAATTACAGGCATGGACCACCAAGACTGGCTTTAATTATTATTTATTATTATTATTATTATTATTATTATTATTTGGTACCGGGGATCAAACTCGGGCCTTTGTGCTTGCGAGGCAGGCGGCAGAACCACTGAGCTAAATCCCCAGCCCTGGCTTTAATTATTTTTTGAAAGAGAAAAGTGTCTCTCACATTTACATATATTTCCACTTATAGATTTTCCACTTCCAGAACTTTCCTCGGTGTAGATCTAGATTTTTATTTCTTATCATTTTCTTTCCAGCTGAATGAACTTTGGCAATTCTGGTAAAGCAGAGAAGCTGCATGTTCAGCATTTGTGTGACTGAAAAGGTTTTGTTCATCTTTTGAAAGATAGGAAGTCTGTCTTCTTTTTCTTTTTTAGTACTTCACTGATGGCTTTCCATTGTCTATTGGTTGCTAGTTTCTGGTGAGAACTCTTCTGTTACTCCTTTTCACTGATTTGTAGCCATTTATGACATACTTTGATAAGATTTTCTTTAGTTTTATTCTACTTGACCTTTGCTGAGATTGTTAGATTGGGTTATAGTTTCATCAAACATGAAGGTTCTGACCATTCACTCCTCAAATATTATTTTTAGTTTTTCCTTCTTCTCTCCCTTAGGCTTGCTGCCTCACAAATTCTGGCTGTTGTGGTCCCTCCTGGATCACATTCTGTCCTCTTCCATTTGGCAAATCCCTATTTTCTGTTTGCATCTCCCATCCCTAAACGTGTCCTGGAAACTATTCCTGTCCACCTTACTTTGCTTTCTAGCCTCTTGTCACATTTTCATTTTCACTACCAGCGATTTTGATAATTCTGCCTTCAGTAAAATGTGGTTCCAGTCTCTCCATCTCCTGTGCAGGACAGGAGAGTAGCACCTGAAGTGGAAGAGGTGCCACCCCAAAGAAAGGCAGAGCAGCAGCCAGCCTTAGGTGGTATGGAATGCCAGAATCCCTCTGTGAGAGGACATCACTTCAGGCCATGCTAAGACTATGCCCCAAGGGCCTCTCACTCCACAATCATCCAGGCTAGGAAGGATGCTTGGGGGTTGTACAGCAAAAAATAGGGCAGAGGCTTTGCCTCCCATAGTCACTGATTGGTTCAGAGTAAGCCAATCACAGCAATCTCATTCTCACAGACACTGATTGGTCTGGAGTCAGCCAATCATAATACTCACATCCTCATAGCCACTGATTGATTCAGTGTCAGCCTATCAGCACAATCATCCTCACAACCACTGATTGGTCTGGAGTTAGCCAATCACAGCAAAATTGCATCCTCACAGCTGCTGATTGGTCCACCTCCCAGGCCTGAGCCAATTGGAACACTCCTTGGAGGACCAGCTCTGGAGCCTCTGATTCAGTGGTTCCATAGGCTCTATACCTCTGTGCCCCCACCCCCTCATCATATGTGGGCGCTTGTGGATCCCACCTCATTAGCCTTGGCCATAAGAGGCTGGGGGAGTTTGTTAGAGAACAACTAGGGAGCAGGTTCATTGAGTGGGACAATGCTTGCCTGCCCCATGCTGCCTGGGTGGAGCCCAGAGCAGTATGCCCCAGGGTGTACAGAGGGCAGGGTAGAGGGAAACAAGTCCAGGAGCCCAAGGTGAGGAGGGGGTCCTGAGGAGAGCCAGGAACAGGGTGGATGGAGGGGCCTGGATGTGGAAGGGCTCAGGGATGGTTTTGGGGAGAAGTGCCCAGAAAAGATTGTTGTGGGTCTCTTCTTGTCTCAGCCTGACATCCATGCACCATCCCTTCTGTTGATGGAGTGATTATCAGATTATCAGATGCCTGAGATAATCAGCTACCCTCTGGTCAGTGGAGCTGCACAGATAAAGTCCAGAGGCCATGCTGCAGGATCTTTCTGCAAAGCTTGGTCTCTTGAGGACAACAGGGCCCCTTCCTGGCCAGAGCACTTGGTACTTCTCCCTCCCAAGGCTGATTCTTCCTCTGACAAGGAGACCTCATATGACTGTTCTCCTGAAGTGAAGTGAGGGCAGCTGAGCCCCGCCCTGTGGGCTCAGAGGACTTAGGGTGGGGAGACACTGCTGTCCATGTCACCTTGTTGCTCCTTTGAGGGAGCCCACAGACATGGACTCGCACTTTGTGCCCTATTAGGAAACACCTGAAGGTGGGGAACACGTAGTCCCCAGTTGCCACTGTGCCTGCAGTTCCTTGGTGAGTTATCTTTGCTCCTGACTGGGATAGCAGTCTGACCCCAACAGCTGGAAGCTGGAACCATTCTGGTGCTAGAGATCCAGCAACTGAGAGAGGGACCCTCAAACATCCAGTACTCAGTCTATGACCAGACCCACTGGGGAGCCCCAGTACACAGAGGGGACTAGTGGATCCTGTGCAGACTGGAGCCCCTCTCACTCCTATAACTCACTGCAGCTGGAATAAGGATTGCAGTATTTCACGGCCCGAAACTCCAGACCCTATAAGAGAGGGTGGCTAGGCCTCTGCTCTCTAACATTAGGACTGGTGGGTACCAGATGGACATATGGGCAGTCGGGCCATGTGTCACATGGGAGACCTGGGTCTGAGTCATCCACTTCCTCCTCCTCTGGATTGGAGGGTAGGGCAGCCCTCCTCCAATCTGAGCTGCTCTGGAGAGATAAATGGGGAGTTGAGGGCAGGTGGGGTAGAGAGGAGCAGGACTGGCCAGAGTAAGTTCTCCTGACTCAGAGACCCTGAGACTCCAGTGTAGACCAACCCCTAATCCCCATGGGCTCCACCCTCTGCTGACTCCAGCTAGCCCTGACCCCTGGCCAGGTTCCTGCCAGAGGACTGACCCTCCTGATTCCTATCAGATGCTGAGCCCGATGCTGAGCCTGTTGGTACTGGCGCTGCCCTTGCTGTCTGGCCTGGTCCACGCAGCCCCTGGTGAGTCCTGCCCAGGCTGGCTGTGTCTCTCCATAGGGGCTCATACCCCACAGGCTGGGATGGGTGGGCTCAGAGAAGCCCAGGGTCTCCCCAGCACTGGGTGGGGTCGAGCCAGGGTGGGCCTGTGGCCTGATGTTGAGATTACTCCCGGTCCCAGCCCCAGGCCTGGCCCTGGAGCGAGCAGGCATCGTGGGGGGCCAGGAGGCCCCTGGCAGCAAGTGGCCCTGGCAGGTGAGCCTGAGGGTCAACGGCAGCTTCTGGATGCATATCTGCGGGGGATCACTCATCCACCCCCAGTGGGTGCTGACTGCAGCTCACTGTGTGGGACCGTGAGTGGCCACAGGGCTGATGAGTGGGGCGCCGTTCCAGTTTCCCCCAGAGTGCTCCAGAGCACAGGCCTGAGTAGGGCTTTGCCTTTTCCAGACACATTGTGAGCCCTGAATTCTTGCGGGTGCAGCTCCGAGAGCAACACCTTTATTACCAAGACCACCTGCTGCCCATCAGCCGGATCATTACACACCCTGACTACTATGAGGCCCAGAATGGTGCAGACATCGCCCTGCTGGAGCTGGAGGACCCTGTGAACATCTCTAGCCACATCCACCCCATCTCCCTGCCTCCTGCCTCGGAGACCTTCCCCTCTGGGACGCTGTGCTGGGTGACAGGCTGGGGCAATGTGGGCAATGGCGGTGAGTGGCAGGGACAGTGAAGGCTTGGACAGGCAGGGACCTGGTTATACCGTGGCTCCTGCTGCAGGGCTCCTTTTGGGGGACAGGGATGAGCCTTGATCTGTTCCTCCCTGAGATTACTCCTTCTTCTCTCACTCCAGAGCTGCTCCCACCGCCCTATCCCCTACAACAGGTGAAGGTCCCCATCGTGGAAAATCACCTTTGTGATGCCAAATACCACATTGGCCTCTCCACGGGGGACCACATTCACATTGTTCGAGAGGACATGCTGTGTGCTGGGAATAGCCAAAGAGACTCCTGCCAGGTGAGCCCCAACCACATTCACTGCACCCACCCATGCATCCTGGCCTTGCTCTTGAGCACTGACCCTTGTCCTCCCCAGGGGGACTCCGGAGGGCCGCTAGTCTGCAAGGTGAAGGGCACCTGGCTGCAGGCGGGCGTGGTCAGCTGGGGTGATGGCTGTGCTCAGCCCAACAGGCCTGGTATCTACACTCGCGTGACCCACTACCTGGACTGGATCCACGGCTATGTCCCCAAGGAACCCTGAGCTGGGTTGACAGGGCTGCCCCTGCATCAAGGGAGAAGCAGCCCCTCCTGTCACCAGCATGCTGCCTCTTGCCCAGGTGAACCCCACCCAGTCTTCCCTGTCTTGCCCTGAGCCCCCTTCCCTGTCTGGAGTCCCTTCCTCTGCTACCCCTCCCCTATTCAGCTAGCTGGTGTTAATCCTGCTGGCAGCTGTGTCTCATTAAAATGCATGAAAAGCATCGTTGGTTGTCCCTGGGTTTCTAGTTATGGGCCACTGGGGAGAAGGTCCTGGAAAAGGCCAGGGTGTGGCTTTGTGGCTGTGGGGCCCCCATCCCCTGAGGCTGGGATGTTGCCATGTGAGCACTCTCGCCTGGCCCCTTGTCCCTAGAGCCTGCTTCTCTCTGCACAAACTTATTTCCTTTTGGTGAGCAGTGTCGTGGCCTTGGGACACAGAGCAAAAGGGACAACTTGAAAGATGAAAGTAGAGGACAGCTAGGAACCCTACAAGCAACAGGGTCAGGAAATTGAACATTATCATCCTGAGCCCCCATCAGTCACGGTCCAGTCCCTACCCTCAGCACCTCCCCACTGTCCTGACCAGACTGGTGGGAACTTGCCCTGTTTCTGATGTGATATTCCTCTGTGATCTGGTGGAGGTTTGCCTTTCCCCTGAACCCCACGTTGATGACATTTCTCAGTCACCAGCTGCTGCTGGTGGACTTTGGGGCATTCCCAAATGGGGCTCCAGGACTGGAATAGTCGTGGCTGTTCCTATGCACACAGGTGCTGGTAAGGGGTGCTACTGGGGTCTAAGGGTACACATTCTCCATGTGTCAGGACATCCATTGGACCTGTTGCCCACCTACTCCCACCGCCTAGCAGCAGCACCTCCACCATTCTGTCAGGTGGCATAGCATGAAACTTACTGGCCTTGTTAGGATTATGATGAGGGCAGCCCTTTCTTGGCTGGAGCCCTCACCTCCACTGTGGGGATAAGTGGTCCATTGTCCCTATGCAATGCTAGGGTGGAGTCTCTGCGGCCATACCTTCAGCCATGCTGCCTGATCCTTGAGTGCTCTCCTCTGGAATGTCCAGTTACCTCCCTGTTTCTGCCTCTACAGCAACTTGGGATTGTTTTCTCCCCTATGCTTTTGTTTGTTTGTTTGTTTGTTTTTCAGCTTAGATCATTCCCCTCAGATCAGGTCCCCAAAATCTCCTTTTGGCTTTCAGCTATGCAAGATTGTATTTCATATGTCCCTCCCTGCAGCCTGTCTGGGCCACTGTGACATATGGGGACAGGGATGATGTCCCTTCCTACTGCCCTTTCCTAGGCAAGCTGTAGGAACTTGGGAGCTCAAGGAGTGAGACTCAGGTATGCCTGCTGAGGAAGTTTGTACTCCCTCTGGCAAACTGTTCCTGTGTTCTGGCTTCAGATTCCTGCACCCACCATGTGTCCCTGAGCAGATATGCTGTCCCATGTTTGTATCAGCTGTTTGTCCCCACCCTGGTGTGCATGACTGTGCTCATAAGCTGTACAAGTTGGCTTTTTTGGACACAATTTAAAGTAGTTTAATTTGGCTCATGGTTTTGTTTTTTGTTTGTACCGGGGATTGAACTCAGGACCTTGTGCTTGTGAGGCAGGCGCGGTGTCACTGGGCTAAATACCAGGCCCTGGCTCATAGTATTTGGAGGACTCAGTTCATGGTCAGCTGGCTCCAAGGCAAGAACATCATGGTAGAAGGTTGTGGCAGAGAAAATATGCTTAGTCTAAGGTGGCAGAGAAGCAGAGCAGGGGAAGAGGGCCAGAGAGGAAGGGGTCAGGGACCAGACATAGTCCCCAAGGCCACGTCTCCATGACCTACCCAGACGTACTCAGAAGTGTGCTCCACCAATCCCCACAGTGGATCCCAGAGCTAGTCAAGTTGAAACTGCACCCTAAATGCCACACAAGCAAAATGGGTAGCTACACAGCTCAGTCCTTCAGGACTCACTCTGGGGCTTTGGGACGACATTTTCACCTTCTTCTCCTCCTAGCTGACATGTGCAAATACGTCCATGGTAAATCTCTGGATGATCTCTGTCCTCCTCAGGGGAGATTCTGAAGTGAACCACCTGGCCCTTTTCCAGACCCCCCTGATTTCTATGGGCCTGCAGTCCATAGAAAGGAAGAGGTGAGGATGACAGGAGCGTCCTGGGGCCCTGCTCTGCACAGTGACAGCTCCCCACCGTCCTGGCGCCTCGCTCTCTGAAGTGAAATGGACTGAGGAGAAGGTGCTAAACTGCTCCATTGTTCCTTTTGGCTTTATTTTTAATAACAAACATATTTGCACTTCAAAAAATGCAACATAAACCTGGAAATCTGTCCCACCTTCCTTCCACCCACCTGTCTCACTCAAGTTTTCACTACGGGCAGGCAGGCTGACCTCTGGCAAATGCTAAATCTCCAATAAGTGGATTTACACATCCTTAGTGGAGGCTGTGCGGGGTGAAAGGCAAGGGACAGAGATCCCAAGGAGATGCAACATGGCCCTGGCGACAGGGTTGGAAGGAAGGGGACAGGCAAGGCTGGAGGAAGGAGGGCAGGGTGGCCTCATGCTGGGCCTTTCCTCTTATCTGGCCCTCATCTCCGAAAAGCTCAGTCCAGTGGCAGATGGCAGATAAAAGTGAGGGCAGTGGCACATGCCTGTTATCCCAGCACTCAAAAGGCGGGGGCAGTAGGATCGCTGTGAGTTCAAGGCTAGCCTGGGCTACACAGTGAGACCTTGTCTTAAAAAACCAAAAAAGGGCCGGGGATTTAGCTCAGTGGCACTGCGCCTGCCTCACAAATGCGAGGTCCTGAGTTTGACCCCTGGTACAAAAAAAAAAAAAAAAAAAAAGTGAAACTTAACCCTATTGAGGTGGCTGCCAGGTAGGGTCAGGTCAGCAGGATGACCAATCCTAATCCCCTCTGTACAGCTCCTCCCCTGGGGACAGTGCCCAAGAGACAGATGTAGCCCCAAGCTCTGGCTCTCCTGGGGTTTCAGCTATAGGAGACCTGTCAGAGGCCACCACCAGGGCCAGGCCACTCTCACTCCCATATGCTCTCTGGAAGATGAGGACAGAGTGGCACCTGTGGTATAGTCTGGCTTTAGATGTCCCCTTAAAGCCTCATGTGGTCATAGGCTTGATCTAGAGTGTGTGAAGCTGGAATTGATTCATAATGCAATAGGCTCAAGGGCACTAGGATTAAGGGTGTGAGTGCTACCTGCCCTAAGTAGTCTGAGTAAGATAAAGGGGGCAGGGAGACACTGTTAAGTCTCTTGTTGCCATTGCTGCCTTGTGGTCACCATGTTGTTTCTCCCTTGCAATGCCCGTTTACCATCCCTGCCTTGGATCCAGCTGATTATGGACTGAAACCTCTATAAACTGTGAGCCAAATAAATCCCTTCCCTTCCAACTTTTGATGTTGGGTATTTTGTCTCAGCAATGAGAGAAAAGTAACTAACACAACCTGTCATAGTGTTGCCCAAGGGACAGAACAGGAAGGTCCAGAGTACTTTCTTGACTGCAGGCCTGGGGATCTGGAGGACATTGAGGGCTCTGCAGGGAGCAGGGTCCTGGTGTGCAGGTGGGGCAATTAGTTCCCCGGTGCTTCAGGTGAATCGAGCTGGGACAGGGGTGACCTGGAATGACCCTAGGGGGTAGGTCTCAGGATCTGACTCCATGAAGACTGCTCTCCCCACCTGCTTTGACTCCCTCCTCAAGGTGACAGCAGGCTCCTGGGTCCTGAGGTAGGGATAGCCTGGACTGGGGACACCTGGGCTTTCACCCTGCCGCCCCTCAGATGAGTGACCGGGCAGGTCTCTCCTTCCCCAAGCACCACCTTCCAGGTGTGGCCATCTGAAGGAGGAAGGTGGGGGCAGTTGACGTCTTCCCTATTTGTCAGTAGGTCAGACAACACATACCTTTGAGCCAAGGCTACTACTAGCCAGGTCCTGGTGTGAAGGAGGCCAAGTTTGTGCCTGGTGAAGCTGCATCCTGTAAATTATTGGGTTATACCCTATGTCTCAGTGCCTTCTACTTAAAGGGCATCCTTGACAAGCCTTGCCTGTCATTTGAAGATGGGGAAAGTTGCTGGCTCTTTCTAGGGCTTCGAATCAGTTTGGTCATCAGGCCTCATCAATACAGGAAGCCCTGGGCAGCTGGAGGGCTCTTTCCACCTGATCTTTGGTGCAGACCAGGGAACCCGAAGGACAGGCACATTGTAGAGGGTAGGTTATCACGGAAGTCTAAGCTGACTCCTCCAAGCTTTCTGAGCCTCAGGCTGGGATCTTCTTGAGAAGCCCTGTGTGCCCTATAGGAACCAGGGAGGGCTTCCTGGAAGCAGTGGCTGATTCCAACCTACCCTGGGAACAGTAAATGCTCAGGTTTGCAGTGGGGACACCTGGGTGTCATTCGTCCCTGCTGTGGTCTGACTTACTCCTTGAGCCATCCACTGGCTGCCTGGGCTGGAATGTCCACATGGGGACAAAGGAAGGTGACAACTGGTGGGGCCTATCAGTGGCAACCATTCCTCCTCTTCCCTCCCTGCCCCAGATACCAGGTGTGACACCTTCCCAACACCACCCCACCTTACATCAGGGTGGACCATCCTCCTGGCCCTGCAGAGGACAGACAACATGGTCTGTGAGCCCATGGCCTCCTGCAGCTCCTGGCTGTGCCTGCTGGGCAACCAGCCTGGACGGAGGTGGGGGTGTTGCTGGGGGAGTTGTCTGCATCCTGCTGGAGTGAGGTGGACCCTACAGCCTCTCTGGGGCGCGCCTTATTTCCCATCAGCCACAGAACTGAAGCCTGTAAGACAGACCCTGGGGGTCCAGGCCAAGAGAGGGGGAAATACTGAGTTCCCTTCAGGTGGGGCCTGGTGTGTCATGTGCATAGTCTGCACTACTGGGTGAGGTGCTGGGGACAGAGGCACCAGGTGGGGATAGGAGCAGCAGCATCCCCAGACCCCAGATGTAGTAAGGCCTTCTTTGGGGGGAGGGGGGGCTGGAAGGCATGGGTGGCCAAGGCAGAGGCAGAGCTTTGTGCCACCCAGCTGATGTTTATGCTCATGCCTGGTCACTACAGTTACTGGTTATTTTTTATTTTTTTGTACCAGAGATTGAACTCGGCTCCTTGCTCTTGCGCAGCAGGCGGTGAAACCACTGAGCTAAATCCCTGGCCCAGCTACTGTTTATTGTCAATGGCTGCTCTGGACCTGGGCTGGTGGCTGGCAGCCCCACCTGTCTGCCTAGATACTGGCTTCAGATACTTAAGACAGGGGATCCATCTTAGGGTCACCCTGGAGCCCACCCTGGGCATCACTCAGACCTTTGGGGCTGGAGGTCTGTCCCTGGGCATTTGCTCTCACCCTGTGAACCTGTCTCCATCTCTCAGGTCTTTCTCATGGGGCTCTGCAGCCAGGTGTGCCCCACAAAAGGAGTGGGGCCTGGCAGGAGTATCTGAAGGGACACTGTCCATTCAGGGGGTCACCTGGCGGCCCAGGGAGATCATTGGCTCATCACAGGAAACTATTCAGGAATCCTGGCTGAGGGTACAGGCTGGGCCCCCAGAATGCCACCACCTCTTCCTTTCTCAATTAATTTGTCTTTCACAAAATATTTTGAGGCCACACAAATAACCTCACGGTCTCCTTGTTACCATCACCGATGGCTCTTGCCTGAATCAATACTATTGCTGTCACCAAGCCAAGGTCTTGTCCCTTCTTGGGTAGCAGCTGGCATTCTGGGGTGAGAAGACCCCTCCCCACCTATTTCTCTATCAGTGTGGATTCAGTTTCTCATTTAACATAGTTGCACGGATTTTAACTATTGCTGTCATTTTGTGTGAGCGCAAGGGAACCTAGATCTCACCAGTTTAAACTGAACTCTGTGGCTTTAAAAATATTTTTTATTGAGGTGAAATTAACATAAGAAAATTAACCATAATAAAGTGCTCACTGGGGCGGCATCTAGCTCCTTTGCAATGTTGTTGACATAGCCTCTATTCTCAACCCAAAAGGAAGCCCCATTCCTATCCAGTAGCTACTCCCAACCTCCTAGCCTCGGGTCTTTGTGGTACCTGACTCTCTGAGCTCTTTCCCTGGCCCCCATCTCCCAGGGTCCTGCTACATTAGAAACCAAGGCTGAGGAGCTGGGGTGTTTCTTACTTCTGGGCTATCATTTTCTGCATACACAATCTTTCTGGGGAGCTCCCAACAGACAGAAGATCCCCAAGGTAGGAGGGGTGGTGAGGGAGGCTTCCAGAAAAAGGGCAGTGGGTGGGAAGCAGGCTGAGGACCCCCGCCACCTCCCCTCTTGGCTCAGGGTGTGGCCAGCCCCAGGTTTTGGATGCAGGGAATCATACTGCCCTGGCTAGCTTGTGGTTGTGGTAGGCCAGCCCCTGCCTGCGGAAGGTGCACGTATATGGAGCACCCTGTGGATGCTCATTGCTGCCAGGGAAACTTAAGTTTCCTCTTTAGTAAAGAGGGAGAACTACATTACCATCTGTCCACTTGATGTGGTAGTGCACAGCTACAGAGCTCAGAGAACATATCTGCTAAACTGGCTGGTGATCCAAGACATGAGACTGCTTCTGTGCATCTTTGCATATCTCTTGGGCCAGGCAGCTCCCCGCTCCCCACTGGTGAAACCTGCAATCTCCCCCGCGATCAGCCCCTCTAGGGCTCAGAAGAGTCACTGGCCTCCATCATGCTTGACACCTTCCTGTCAGGAGCAGCAGGGATCCAAGGTGCCACCACAGTCTTGCAGCACAGCTGGAGCCCAGGGTTAGACCTCAGTGGGTGAGGAGGGACAGTTGGAACCTGGCCAAGGTAGGCTCTCGATGTTCTCTTGCCTCTGCAGCTGGCCGTTTGGTGGAGAAGACCCCATGCCCATGCCCTGTCCTCCAATTCCCTGAATTAATCCAACTATCAGGTCTACTTGGAAGAGCTGCTAATAGCCACATCTCCAACTTCTTTACCACGATGTGGGTCAACCTATACCCCAACTCCCCAGGACCTCCGGGATCTAGCTGGGACATCGTCCTTGTGCATCCGGGTGGCCCTCTCCAGATAGGTCCTACCTGTCTGCCTCACAGAGGCTTTGGCTGACTTCCACCTTGGGATGCAGCGCTGGATGACAGGCTGGAGCTACACACAGGAGGGGTGAGGGACCCTTCCATCACCCTGTCTGTGGGGATGGAGGAAGTGACACTCGGAGAGGAACCATCACCTAACCCCACGGCTCCCCCACCTCAGAGCCCACTACACATCTGTTCACACCAGGGCCAAGGTGGGCCAGTGACCACGTAACCTTGGTACAGAGTCTGTACCTGAGTGAGAGACATGGCCCATCCTTATTCCCAGCAGTGCAGGGGCAGGAGCCCTGACATCCCATGAGCCTATACCTCCCCTGGAGCCTCTGTGACCCCCATACAACCTGCAGGAGTCAGAAATCTCCATGGTGGACCTGCAGAAGGCCTACTCCAGCCTAGACAATGCTATTCAACAGGAACTGCAGTGTGGACAGGACTTGGGACATCCATCGGGTACGGGTGAGGCCTCCTGACTCCTTAGTGGCCTGTTCTCACCCTTTTCTGCCTACAGAATGACTCCAGAGGGCCTCTGGTCTGCCAGAGGGATGGAGACCTGGCTATAAAGCTGGTGTGGTCAGCTGGGAAAAGGGCTGTGGCTGCCCTGAAGGGCCTGGGGTCTACACCGCGTCCCGGCACTATTTGAGTGGCTCCATCACCACATGCCAGAGAAGGGGGTGGAGGCTTTCCCTTCTGGCGGCCTCTTTCTGGTTGGCCTCCTGTGGCTGCTGGTCTTGGGCATCTTGGTGGCCAACAGCTAGTTGTACAGGCCCTGGCTTAGCTCCCAATCCCGCCCGACCTCGGACACTTGATTCTGAGGTGGAACCAAAGTGCATTTCTTAAATAAGTTAATATTTATTCTGCTTTGCCCCTTCCCTCCCCTTTTCCTTAAGAAGGTGAGTTTTCTGATCAGATTATTGCAACACGTAACCTGAATTTATAAGACAAGGGAACAAAACAGAACAGAGGGACGTCAACTCAACCTCCAGGCCACAGGGGCTGCACAGATCAGAGGCGCCATCAGAATGGGGCCGGGGCGTGTTATTGCACAGGTCAAAAGGCCCTGGTGAGGTGGCCTTCCCAGAGTCACAGGATGTGCCTGGAACACCCAAGCTGATGTAAAGGGGTGGCATGGGAGGGGGAGTGTGGAAGGTGATGTATGGAGACTCAGACTGTGAGCAGAGGTGACACTGGCTGTGGTAGCCTCAGGGACCGAGCCTGTTGCTGAGGGCCTGAGGCTCAAGCGTGTGCTCCCTGTAACAGTGGAGTGTGGGGACAGTGCTGTGGTTCCCTTTCCTATGGACACAGCGTCTTGTCACAGGCCTGCTGATAGGCCTTACACGGCCGCAGATGGTGGCAGCGGCAAAACTCAGGAAAACTCAGACCTGAACTGACCCAGTGAACGGACAGAGGTCATGGGCCATGACTTCCACAACATGGTGCACAGAATGTGCCCACTTGCCTCTGCTGGGCTGTCCTCCCTGGCTCCTCTACCCACCGTGGGGTCTGAGCCAGGGCCCACTCTTGGCCTGTCTGGGGCCACTGCCCTACAGGGTGTCCCTAACCCCGTGCTAAAGCCCTGTGTGCCCTGAGCTACACGGACTCATCTGCGCTGTCACTTGGGGCAGGGGTGGTGGTGGGGGAGCCCAATTTCTTCAGTGGGGTCTGGGGAACCATGAGGTAGAGTCCCCGCCCCCTCTCTGAAGGGTCCACAGAGGGCACAGAAGGCTCTGTTTCATGGGGATCCAGAGGCACCGTAGCCCCTGAGAAAGAAACTCTGGGCTCTGGGGTTACACTCTGACTGCTGTCCAAGAAGGGGCTCCCACTAGGGCCGCCCATGTTCAGTGGCTCGAAGGCAAAGCTGGGGACTGTTAGGTGCTCTGCCCGGCAGGGGACCTGGCCCCACCGATCCCCCTTGGCAGCAGAGTCCCCTCCAGTGCTCTCACTGGGCTCCGGGCAGTCCCTGTGGGGTGCAGCCTCACAGGATGGGGTTCTACGCCGGAGAGTACTGCTGCCCTCTGCCACTGGGGGCCGTGCAGAGCCCTCTTCCTCTGCAGGGGGGTCCACAGAGATGCAAGGGGGGCTCATCTTCTTCTTTCTGCGTGCCCCCAGGGCTGGCTCGAGCTCCGGAACCCGGGCCTTTACTTCCCCAGGCTCCAGGTGGCCATCACCACCACCCAGCTCCACTGAGGGCCACCTTTGTGTGTCTGCCCGACCTGGCATGTCCAGGAAGCCCTGGGCGTCCACACTGCAGAGCCTGTGCAGGTCCCGCCCGCTGCCTGCTACCCCTCGGGCTGCAGGGGAGGTCTCGGGGTTGTGAGCCTCAGCAGCAGGCCATGAGTGGACAGAGCTGGTGATGTGCCTGACCTCCTCATCTGCTGGATCCGCGGCTTCAGCCTCATCTCCGCCAGGGGCCAGGAGCCGGCTGGAGATGCAGCGCTGTCCAAAAGTGTGTTTGCGGGTTCGAACACTGGCAGGCCTTGGGGAACGGGGTGGAGACTGCAGGGAGTCCCCCAGGGATGCCTTCCTCACTGGGGTCTTCTCTACAGGACCTGTGGAATCCGGGCCGCTGTCCCCAACCTGCCCTTCCAGTGACTCAGCATGCACAGCCTCCTGCAAGGCCCCAGGGTTACAATGAGGAGGGATTCCAGCCAGCAGCCAGTGCCAGGGACCCCTCCCTACCTGGGACCTGGGGAGGCCAGAGATGGGGCCTCCCAACCCATGAAGCCCAAGGGACAAGCCCGTGCCTGCTATACTGCAGCCATTAATGGAGACTGCTGCCTGAAACAGACAAGGACCCAGGTCCCTGTGGCCAGGTCTGCTGTCACAGGCTGGGCATCATGGTGGCCCTGATCCTCTGAGACCACCTAGTAGCAGCCAGGAAACCCTGAGTCCCCAGGACATGGCCCAGGCTGTGCCTCCTTCAAGGGGATGGAAGAAAGCCACAGAGTTCCCAGGCCCAAGGGGCAAGAGTCCCCTACCTGTCTGCACAGCAGCCGGCCGAGGCTGGGGGAGTGGGATGCACCCCGAGGGGGTGAAGCACACTGCGGGTCACTGCCCCTGGCTGGGGAAGATGTTGCTGGTGGGACCTGGAGGGAGGCACAGGGCTCCGGGGGTGGAGAGTGAGCGGAGGTGGCTTGGCCTGGTGTAAGGATGTGTCCGAACTGAGTGACCCACCACCCTGTCTCCCATCACCCTACCCATGCCTAGTGCAGCCTGCCCAGCCCAACTCCCATCCGCCCTCCTGAGAGGTCCCTGTCTGCCCCGCTACTCATCTGCCCTCAGTCTCCCATTCCTCCCCTTGCCTGGTCCTGCACCCATGCCGGGGCCCATACCTGAGGGGGCAGCTGAGTAGGTCTGCATCTCCACTTCCTGCAGTGGGTGGGGAGCTGCAGCAGGTGCCACGGGCCTGAACATGTAGCTGTCACTGGGCAGCGACAGCATCCTGGACACTGACACCTTGCGCACAACCAGGAGGTTTGGGGCATCTGGCCCACAGCCTGGGCTGTCCTGGGGTTAGGGAGGCCATGCCCATCAGCCTAAGGCCACCCCTATTTACACCCCAACCCTCCTCTTCACTGGGCTCACCTGCACCCCGGGCAGGGGGTGTGCTGGGGGCCCCTGTGCCAGCTCCAACTCAGCCTCTGCATCCATCTCGGCATCCTCACGGGCCTCCTTGTTGCTCTCCTCCAGGTGCTTCATGAGTACAGCCACCACAACGTTGACCAGCACAAACTGGGCCACCAGCACAAAGGTGACGAAGTAGATGGGTGAGAGTGCCGGCAGGTAGCTGAGGCAGTGCTTGTCCTCCCGGGCGCACTCGCGCAGTGTGTCCTGGGCCGGCAGGTGGCAGGGTTACACTCTGGCTGCCCTCGCCACCTGTCCGCCACCGCGAGCCCCACCGGTACCTTCATGATCCCGTTCCAGTTGTCACCGGTGGACACCCGGAAGAGCGTGAGGAAGGCCATGCCGAAGTTGGAGAAGGTGGCGTGTCGGCTCAGGCCCTCGCAGGGACTATCCTCGCTGCACTCTGCCAGGGCGGCGGGAGGCCGTCAGCCACTCCGCCCCCACTCATTTGCAGCTGACACCACTGCCTACACCTCACCCGCCCGCACGGGCCTGGCCTCTTGGTTCACAGCTGTGGATGGTCAGTATGCCCTGGCTTCTGCGCACTAACAGGACCCCCTGGCTGCTGGGCCTGGTCCAGGATCATCAAACCCAGCTGGGGGAACCTAGGGTCCCGGGGAGGAGGGGGGACATCTGTGCCTGAGTCGAAGCCTGGACTGAGCTCCCCTGCACGGGCAGGTACCAGGCTGACAGCCAGTGTGGCCACCTACCAGCCGGGGCCCACAGGCCCAGGTTGACTTAGTAGCTGGCAAGGGGCCAGCAGGGACTGGGCTGCCTGTGGAGGTCCCCACCTACTCCAGCCCAGAATGGGCAGTGTCTCACATGATAATCTAGAAGGACAGGGAGCTGGGTGTAGTGGTCCAGGCCCTCAAGCCCAGCACTTTGGGAGGCTGAGGCAGAAGGACTGCAAGTTTTGGTCATGTCTCAGCAACTTAGTGACTTAGTGAGACACTGCCACCAAAACCAACAACAACAACAACAATCTGGGAATGTAACACAGTGTGGAAGCTCTGGGTTCAATGCCCAGTACCGTAAAAAATATATATATGAATAATAGTAAAAACCAAAAATAAAGAAAAACACTGGTGGCACTTGTCTCCTGGGGACCACGTGAGGATCAGGATGAGGCAAGCATGTATGACGTAAGCATTTAGTGTGTGTGAGCATGTGTGCGTGTGACTGTTTGTGAGTGAACCCTTGCCTGGTCTGAGTGTGGCCTTGCCTGCCTGTCTGGGGCATGGGTTTGTGTGCAGGCGTGTCTGTGTCACAGGCCTGTGTGTGCACTGGCCTCCAAGAAGGCTGACCGAGGCTGGATGGGTGGGGGCAGCCCAAGAGGCTGGTGGCCTGCCCAGGTCTGGGCCAGTGTGCTGAGCTGTCCAGGGCACAGGCCTGTGTGCTCATGGCTGAGCACAGCAGTCATACTTCGCCAGTTCCACGTTTGTGTGCTGTACTCACCAAGCCTCCCGAACAGCTCCACTCCCAGGGCAGCATAGATAAAAAACAGGAGCATGAAAAGAAGACCAAGGTTCCCTACCTACATGAGAAAGAAGCAGAAAGGGGTCAGCCTGGTCGCCATCCAGCCCATGGCACAGGTCCGGCACTCACTGCCCAGAGAGGTTAGGTGAGGGCCAGAGATGGGCTCAGACCGTTCCAGCTTTGCAGCCTCTTGTGTCCCCTGGAGCTCCCTGTCCTTGGCCAGTGTCCAGTGCCCTCCCTTCCCTGCCCGCCTCTGGGCCTCATGGTTCCCCACGCCCCCTCCTGATCCTGCCTCTGAGCCACTGCCCCTGTGGCCACACCACCTCTGTCTAGCAGGTGCTGTTCCCAAGGCCTGGGGTGTGCTATTCCTGAGCCCACCCTGTGCAGGCTGACCTCACCTCAGATCCCAGGATGGGGAACCCCTGCAGGTGCTCAGTGGACAGGAAGACCATCCAGGGACCCTGCCTGCTGCCCCCAAACCTGCCCATCCCCCAGCCCTCCTTGTTCCCATCCCCAGGAATAGCTGAGTCCAGTGAAACTCTGAGCAGTACTTGGGAGTGTCACTCAGGCGGGACTCAAAATGCTGCTGAAGGTAGGTACGGATGATAGGAACTGAGGGCCAGTGGGTGGGTGTGTGGATAAGCCGTGGCAATGGGGAGGTTGCTAGAAAGGGGGGGATAAGTGGGTTGTTGGGAAGGTGGCCAGAGGACCATCAGCTGAAGGGCAGAGTGCAGAGTGACAAGGTGGATGGCCTGCAGGTTGGGCAGTGGCAAGAGGCTGCAGGGGCACTGAGCCCGACAATAAGAGTCTTTCACTTGAGGCCAGAAAAGACCATGGTGGGGCCAAGGGCACAGAAGTGAGGACGTGAGCCCCACCAACGCCAAGGCCACAGTTCTCTGCACTGTCACAGGCAGGCCTGCCTCGGCCCGATGGCCTCTGCCTTGACCCCCTTTCTGGGGCCCCTTGCCTCCAGAAGCATACAGCTGGGGCAGGCCATGGTCACTGTTCTTCCCCAGAGGCTGGGGCCAAGGCAGGTGGCCTATCCACCTCTTCTAGTTCAGCTGAGGCACACATGGGCCATGACCTCGGCTGTAGGGCCAGGCACACGAGGGAAGAAGGGACATGAGCCAGGCCTTTCCTGCGGCCTTATCCTTGAGGACACGTGGTGCCCACCTTTGGGCGGTACCTGGGCCCTGACCTACCTGGGGCAGGGCTTGCACCACGGTGTCCAGCAGGGCCCGCATGCCCGTGGCCATCTTGAGCAGCTTCAGCACTAGGGCCAGGAACTGAGTGTTAGCAGGCCTGGCTGATCCCTGATTGTCCAGGGACAATGAACAGCCCATCCCCTCACTTCCTGCCTAGACTCTAGGAGCCCCCGACTCAGCCCCAGCTGCAGAGGTCTCAGACATAGGTAAGGATGAACATCAGGCCTGGGGCAGAGTGCTCAGGTCTATCTGCCATCTGTCCTGCTGGGCCTGCGACTCAAGAGGCCACCAGTGGGTTCTGCCAACAGCCAAAGGCAGTGATGGTGAAGCTACAGCATGTGCACCACAGTGGGCTATTTGTTAACACTGAAAGCTCTAAAAGGTTTACCATCACTGGCCTAGGGGTCCCCAGGGTGCGGGTATGAGGCCCACCTACCGCGGGCAATGCGGAGCACACGCATGATACGGATGATGGTGGGGTTGATGGGCAGTGCAGCGTTCATCTCGATCTCCTCTAGTGCGATGCCCATGATAGACAGCAGGACAATGGCCAGGTCCAGCTGGTTCCACCTGGCCGGCAGGAGGACACCTCAGCATGGCCACTACCTCGGCCCCACCTACAGCCCACCTGGGAGGTGGAGCAGGAGCCTCCTCCTTCGTTGCCAGGGGGCTCACCCATACCTGTCCTTGAAGAATCTCCGGAACCCAAAGGCCACCAGCTTTAGTGCGGCCTCAAAGACAAAGACGACGGTGAACACATAGTTGCAGTACTTGAGAGCCTCGTCCAGTGACTAAGGGCAGAGGGGAAGGCTGGTGGTAGGGTCTGGGCGAGGCTACCCCTCCCTCCTCATGCCTGTCACCTCCCCATATGGCTTCCTGTAGTCACACAGCAGTGGCCTAGGCTGGCAGGTGTCTCCCTGGGTGTTGGCAGCCAGGTCCCAGTCTCTAGCTGGGCACACACAGCCCATGCTGGAGTGAACCTGTGCAAAGGTTCACCTCCCAGATCCATAGCCCAGCAGTTGCCTGGTCACTGCAGCCCCTCCTGCCCTGCTGACCAGGGAGCCTTGTGAGGCTTGCCACTGAGCACTTACTGTCCAGCCAGTGCAGGGCCTAGGAGGCGTCACCCTGTGACCCTGGCAGCTGCTGAGGGAACGTTCAAGAACAGGAGGAACCCAGGCTCCTGGTCTGTCTCCAGCCTGGGCAGAGGCCCCAGTAGACCTACTATTCCTGGCTTTGTACAGAGTGACATCTTTTTATTCTTTTTTTTGGTACCATGGATCGAACTTGGGACCTTGCGGTTTCGAGGCAGGCAGCGGAACCACCGAGCTAAATCCTCAGCCCGAGAGTGACATTTTTTAAGGTTAAGCATATTCCTAGTGAAAAGCTCTGCTCTGCTATGGCCTTAGTCTTCCTCTATGAAAGGAGACTAACTGAAGGATGGAGATGCAGACTTAGTGGGTTGAAAGGGACTATGGCTACTCCAGGCCTGTTTCACTGTGGACATTAGAGCCAATGTTCCCGGTGCTGGAGGGGAAACCACTGCCCGCCCCAGGTCGAGGTCACTGGAGTTCCCACCCATCTAAAAAGGTTCGAATGATGGAGCCATGCCTCCATACCCCCATCCCAGTGAGGGATCAATGGGACCACCATGCTGGCACAGCCCTCCAGTGCCCCTTTCTGGCCAACAGCACCTTGGGCTGGTTGTAGTGTTCCACAGACATGGTGATGACATTGAGGCCGATGATAAAGGTGATGAACAGGTCCAGGTAGTGGCTGGTGCACAGTGCATGGATGGAGCGACGTGTGTGAGAGTAGTCAGCATAGTAGGGTCGGCGCTGGGCCTCTGTGGGGAGAAGGTGGGTTAGTGCTCTGGTGGCACCCCGATGTCTCCATCTCCTCCCAGGAGGCTAAGGGTGGGATAGCTCAGGGAGGGCTTGGCTGGAGCCCAGGAGCTCATGTGTGCTTAAAGCAAGGGTTTCTTTTGGGAAGAGACCCCACTCTAGGTAAGATGAAGTTCCCCGTGAGCCTATGGGCCAGAAAATGCCAGGGTGCCTGAGGCAGGTCAACTTCCCAGACTATGGGCCTGGGCGGCCCCAGAAGGGACATATAAGCTTCTATAGCCTCCCTGTATCTATCCCCTTGGGACCCCACCCAGACTCTACCCTCCTGGGGCTTGAGGTGGGCAGCAGGAGGGCTTGGCCTGCGTTCATGCTGTGCTGGTACCCCAGAGACACAAGACTGGGCAGAATGGCCCTCTTCTCTCACTCATTTGGGCCCTGCAGACCCCAGGTGAACAGAGATGAAGGTATGAGCCACAACTTCTAGCCCATCCAAGGCTGATGTCAAAACAGGAGAGTAAGATAGGCGCCTTCCTAGAGAGACCCCTCACTGTGTGCACCCCTCCTCTAGGTTTCTCTGCACTAAACCCTGCCTGCAGCGGCCCCCAGTGTCCACTAGGGAGGTCTGCAGAGGATGACGTGTACTGCCCATCTCTAGGGCAGGACACAGAACCAGGCACTCAGGGGCTGAAGGCCCAGGACCAGTTAGAGCCAGTGCCAATGAGAAATGACCCTCCACCCTGGACCCTCATGCTCCTCGGTCCAGCATGCTTCACTACAGCTTGGCTCAGCTTGGGCAGCCAAAGGAGCCAGTGGCCAGTGCAGAAGACAGAGCAGCCACAGCCAGCAGGAAGAAGGTGGCTCATCCCTGTCCCTGCCCCTGTCCCGAGCGTGCACACATGCAGACTGCAGAGGGACACACAGGAGCGATGTTGGTAGTACTGACACCAGCAGGCAGCCTCAGCCCTTCATCCCACCACCCCCGCTGGTGCCCGTCACCCCAGCACTGTGCCCACCCTGTGGTGGACCCCAGCATCCCTGGTGGCACGCCCCTCCCCATGCAGTGGCTGGCAGAAGCGGGCTGAGCGTGTGTGCGGGGCATGCGGGTGGCAGGTACCTGGGCTGGGGAAGGTGCCTGGAAAGACAAGGAGACATCTGAGTGGCCACAGTGAGAGGCAGAGGGAGTCTCAGGCCTGTTCGGGAAGCCCCCTGCCCCTAAGCCACAGCCTGCTCTAGCTCCACAAAGGACAGGCAGAACCCGAACCTGGCAGGCAGGAAGCATCTGAGATGCCCCATCTACCTCTTAGGCCCCTGCTGCCCCTCCTGCTTGGCCCTCTTTGAGGCTGGTCCATGCAAGGTGCCTGTGCAGAGCCATTCAGGGAGGGACTACAGGCCCAGCATGGCGCCACCACGCAGTGCGCACAGGTACCGACCCACCACCGCCACCTTGGGCGCCTTACTCCTGCGCTTCCTCTCCAGCCTCCGCAGCCGCTTCTCCTCCCGTCTCCGTGCCTCTTCAGCCTCCTGGTGCTGCCGGCACTTGTGGAAGTTCTCAACCACGACACCCACAAACATATTGAGCACAAAGAAGCTGACGATGAGCAGGAAGGAGATGAAGTACAGCAGCATCCAGGGGTTGTGGTTCTGCACAGGCTGCAGCACACAAGGTGGTGGGTGTCCAGCCACTGGCTGCTTATTTGCCTACTTGGGACCTCCTCCAGGCGTGGCTCACAGTGCACCTCACCCAAGTGCTCAGGCTAGATACAGCCTCCAGGAGTGCTCTCTGAGGTGACCCACCCCAACCCCAGGTACACGGGACCTTGTTCATGGTGATCCATGGCAGGTCCCCAGCCACGCACCTGCTGGTCAATCCCCACAGCATCTAGCCCGTCATACATGATGTTCACCCAGCCATCCTTGGATGACAGCACGAATAGGGACATCAATGCCTGTGAGGTGGGCACACGTCACCGGTAGGGCTGGCGTCACCGCCCTGCCCAGAAGCCCCCCCCCCGCCACCTGCCTGCCCCCATGGGTGTCCTGCCCACCTGTCCCAGGTTGTCAAAGTTATATTTGCGTCGCACCCAGCGGTAGTGGGCAGCCCGGCACTCGGCCTTGGTGGAGATATTCCTGGTGTCGGTGCCCTCACAGAAGTAGAACTTTCCCTTAAAGAGCTGGTAGGGCAAGGCTGTCACCCAGGGCCCAGGCTGAGGCACCCTGCCCTGCCCTACCTCCAGGCCCAGCCAGCTCTCCCAGTCCTGCTAACCCTGCCCACCTGCACTCCCAGGATGCCAAAGATGATGAAGAAGGCACAGCAAATGAGGACGATGTTCCCAATGGGCCTGAGAGATGATATCAGAGTCTCCACCACCAGCTTGAGGCCTGGAGCCCGGCTGATGACCCTGGAGCCGGCAGAGAGGATGTGCTGCTGGGTCCACTCAAGAAAAACATGGACCCCAACGTGGAACCAAATGAGTGGCAGACAGGGACTGTGCTGAAGGTTTTCTCTGGACCCTACAGGGTTCCTCTCTGTTCCACCCACCTCAGAGGCCGCAGGGTCCGAAGCAGGCGCAGCACGCGCAAGATGCCTAGAATCTTGGCTCCACCAGCTGAGGCCATGGCCACTATGATGTCAACTAGGGATACCAGGACCAGCAGCCCATCCAGCACGTTCCAGCTGCTCTGCAGGTATGCACAGTCTCCCCACAACAGGCCCAGGGCCACCACCTAAAGAGAAGGTGCCCATGTGCATGGCTTGGCAGGAAGAGTCCAGGGTCAGGGGCACCAGGGGCAATGAGGCAGGATAGAGATCCCAGAAGAGAGGTTAACAGGGACACCTTGGTACCTTCACCATCATCTCGGCCACGAAGATGGCTGTGAAGATGTAGTTGGAAACACTGAGGAAGGCTCGCTCCTGTAGGGAGAAGCTGGTGGGAAGGCTGCACCCACATCACCTGCTCCCCACCTGGCCAGCTGCCCCAGAAACTCACAGTGCTGCTGGGGTCGATGTCCGGCCGCTCTAGGGCTATGGTGATGCAGTTGAGGAAGATGAAGAGGAGGACCACGTGGTCAAACATCTTGTGTGCAATGACCTTCTGGCAGAAGGTGCGCAGCCTGGGGAGGCGGCTGAGTCAGCACACCTCGGTGGAGTCCCAGGACAGCTCTGGCCGAGCTGCTGCCTCACTGGGCCCCTGTGGCTACCCGTGGGAGGGAGGGCAAAGCTAGGCCAACTGGGCGGGGGCATGCCTCACCTGTTCTGTGGGGAGAAGAGATACAGGGCCCAGGACTCTCGATTTCGGCACCACTGGGGCGTGTAGGGCTCCAGCACCTTGTGTAGGCGGAAGCAGCAGCTCTGGGGGGAAGACAGGTCCTCAGAGTCTGCATGCCCTTCTCAGGGCAGTACACCCGCATCCTCACCATCTCTGCCTCCTAAGCTTGCCCTCCCCACCCACGTGATGGGCGACCATGCTAGATGTCCACGAGGCTATGGGGATGCTCTTAGGGGCCTCTCCTACCAGGCGCCTCCTGCCTAGTGGCTGACCACCAGGGCAGGGGACATGGACCCACAACAGCTGACACTAGATTCCCTCCCTGGCCAGTCTGCTCCTGGCCCTTCAAGTGCCATCAGTGATGCCCAAGTCCCTACCTAAGGTGTGCTTCGGGGAACCACAGGAATCAGAATGGTTGGTCTGACCAGCCCCACGGTGCCCAGCCACTCACATCCTCCACATCATCTTCAAGGTCAGCTGCCTCCTCCCTATGGCTGTCGATGCGCAGAAAGAACTCGCTGGGCAGGGCCACTGTCTGCCCAGGGCAGTCATGGAGCTTGGTAGGCAGGAGGGTGGCCAGCTGTGGGGGTCGCAGGTCCAGAGTGTTGCGGTGGTCCAGGGATTCAGCACGTTGCAGTGGACAGGTCACCATGCCTGGCCTGCCGTCCTCAGCCTCATCATCTGTGCTGCCTTTGCCCTCTCCGGACAGCAGTGACTCACGTTCCCCACAATGGCTGCGGCGCTTGAGGCTGGGTGCACGGCCAAGGCTGTTCCAGCTTGAGCGCCGGCTGCTCCAGGCACTGTTGGGGCCCCAGTGGGTACAGGGTGAGCTGCGCAGGCTGGCCTGGGGAGTGAGGGTATGTGAACAGGCCAGTACAGGCCTTGGACACCCCAGACCACCACTTCTGGGATAGAGAGGCCTTTCTCACATGTCCCTGTCAGCAGCCATGGCTGGTGTTCACAGGGTACTCCCATGTGTGGCCATCACCTTGCAAGTACCCTACAGGACACAATGTCTAGGTTTAGGTTGTATTTTCAGGTGACACCTGACAATGCTGGGTACTTCTCTGTGGGTGCCATGGATGCATCTAGCAAGGACCAGGTGCTGCCCAATCTCCTACCAGTCATCTCTGGACACATAAAGAAGGAATTTGGCTGCTGTCTCAAGGCATAAAATCGGACCCACCCAGGACTCTTTCCCAAGGGTCTCTGCTTAGATCCTCTGTTGTGACTATCTTTGACTACTGAGTCCAGCAGCAGCCAAATTTTGCTCTCCGCTAGCCTGTCTCTGCCCACCTCTTGGGGAACCTGGCACTGGCTGTGATGAAATATGCTCAGTGGCTTGGCCCCTAGGGGCTCCCTGTGTCCTTTGTATGCACCTCCCCTAACCCTCTGTGCTGTGTATCTGCTCCCTGCTGCTCCTCAGCTTGTATAGTTGGCCACCCTCTGACTCTTTCTCCCTAGGCCCTTCCTAGGGGTCTCAGCAGCCAGATTCAGCAGCATCCATGGAGGCAGTGTCCTTAGAATGTATTTTCAACAGACCTGAGCTGCTGTACTTATAGGTGGAATCCATGGGCCCTCCACTCCAGTGTCATCCTGTCTCACAGGCCGTTTGTACAGGTTTTTGCTGGTCTTTTCCTGCTTTACCCTCTGATGTGCTGTGCTGGGCCAGCTATTATCTTGTCTCATATTTGGCTACCATGAGTGATGGCCCAAGCCCATCCACAGAGCACAGGACCTTTCCTGGTCTGCACAGGATGCTCACTTGCTTCAGGGCTGGGCAGAAGACAGTCCCTACCAGAGACTTCTGGTCCCCCAACTGGGGGTCCACGGAGCCACTGCTGCTACGCCGTGAGTCCAGGAGGCCGTGGGCTGCATCCAAATGTGGTGAGCTTCGGGGGGTGGGCATAGGTGTGGCAGCCGTGTGCATGATGAGCGGAGGGGGTAGGCTGCCCCGGCCTTCTAGATGCCCGTTGGGTGTCATCGCCAGTGAGTACATCTTCATCTCTGCTAAGAGGAGTCCCATGAGCCTCTGGGGTCTCAGGAATGGGAACTTGATCCTCAAGGGTCCCCCAGCCAGGCCCACCCACTTTGCACACACACACCTGTGGCTTGTAGGTCTCTCAGCTTGTCAAAATCCTCCTGAAAGCGGGTGGATGTCTTGTCTTCGTCTGTGTCTGACCTGTTGGCGTCACCCTGCACCCACAAAGCACAAGGTAGAGGTGAGTCCCTGTGGCATGACCACGTGTGCCCGGCACAGGACGGCAGTTACTACCAGGGCCAGCATGGTATGAAAGCAGAGGGCCCAGCCTGCCCAGGCTCCCACCCTTCCCCATCCTCACCTCTGCCTGAAAGCCCTCCACCAGGATGGCCACCAGCAGGTTGAAGAGAACATAATTCCCGAAGGTCATCAGGGCCACGAAGTAGAGGGCAGCCCAGGAGGAGGTAGAGGCCATGCCGTTGTACAGAACCACGTTCCAGTCCTCCTGCGTTAGGATCTGGGGGGTGTTCTCGCACTGAGGCAGCTCAGGGCCCAAGGACACCCACAACCTCCCTGGGGATGGGGTTCACCGTCCCTACTGTCCCCGCTGCTCAGGGCTCTAGCCCTGTGGTACCTGGAACACGGTGACGATGGCCCACAGCAGGGAGTCAAAATTCTTCCTGTCAGGTATGGTGTCCCCTGTGTCTGTCTTCAGGCTGAACTTGCAGCCGAAGAGATGCATACCCAGGATACTAGGGCAGGGCAGGCAGCTGAGCTGGAGGGGCCCCCTGGGTGGTGCCTAGTGCCCCCCTACCCCAGGGCTGAGCTGTCTATTCTGTAAGTGAGAAGATGAAGGTTGGAAGCAGGATGGCCACTCTGGCTCCAGGAAGTGGCCAAGACCTGGATGTCAAGCTGTCTGGGGCAGAGACCGCCCCCTGCCTGGACTGTGCACCCCACCAGAAGCCTGGCTCATTCTCAGCCCTCATCTCATCTCTCTGGGGGCCCCAGGAGAACACAGCTAGTCTGGCCGCCCATGCCCCAGTCTTAGTATACAGGGAGGGCTCACTGACTGTGCCTGAGCAGGGGAGTAATGACAGTTTCTGTGGATGTTGCACTCAGGGCCAGGCGGGGAGGTCCTCCTCCCGAGGGCTCATGTCAGGGCAGGCACCACTCTGCTGCCCACCTAACCCCATATCCGCTGCATGGCTGGCACTCACCTGAAGATGAAGATGAACAGCATGAGCAGCATGCAGAAGGTGGCCACATTGTCCATGGTCTTCATGAGCACCACAAGCTGCCGCCTCAGGGCCGGCAGAAACCGCACCAGCTTCAGCACCCGCAGAAGCCGGAAGGTGCGCAGCACTGACAGCCCACCATCCGCCTGCCCCACGATCTCCCAGACACTGCAGGTCAGTGTCGGGGCAAAGGTTAGGGCAGGCCAACCCTTGACCCCACCCTCCTCTTCTTGGAGGCAGGACTGCCAGCCTTGGAGTGACAGTAGCGCCTGCTACAAGCTGTAGTTTGGAGCAGGTTCATCTGCATCAAGATGCCCAAGGGGCTGTAGCAACATCTCCAGTTTTACTGGCCACTGGTGGCTTCCCAGCCCCCTGGAACCCTAGCTCTGGTCAGACCAGAGCTTCTTCACTGAGGGACTCTCAGGTCCTGACGTGCACAGCTCTATCTCATCTGCTTGTACTCAACCCCCTCCCTGCTGGGTGCAAGACTTCCCCTTGTAAGGCTGTTCCTCTGGGGAAGCGGTCACCCTCAAATTCTTCCATCTATTTTGAGTTGGTTTTGTGAGGCACATGCCCCCAGGGCCCAGCATGACTCAGCCTCCAAGCTGGCCTCTCAAAGGACTGGCCCCTAAATGGCTGGGCCTCGAGGCTGGAAGGCTGCTGACCACCTGTTCTGTTCCTGCACAGAGTGGCATTCCAGAAACACCTGGCTGGGGTGTGGATGACCTGTGCATACCCTACTATGCCCGCAAGAGGGATGAGGACACCAGGGCCCCTTCCCCCCTTCTGTTGGCCCACCCGAACAATGACATCACTAATGTTCCCAAATCTCAGGCCCTCTGGCTAGCCAGGGATGGAACCCACCTGATGATCACAATGATGCCATCGAAGATGTTATAGGGGTTCTGGATGTAGCCCAGTGGGCCGCAGGCCAGCAGCTTCAATAGCATTTCCAGGGCAAACATGCTGGTGAACACGATGTTGCTGATCTCTAGCGCGTTGGTCAGCTCATCTGGCTGTAGGTGGGAAGAAGGGTGGTCAGGGGGCCCTGACCATGGCTCCCACATCTTGTGGACTCTGACCTGCAACAGGTCTAGCTTCATCAAGGGCCCAAGGGACAGAGGGCTCCAGAAACACCCCCCTTCCCACCAGCCCCACAGGCACAGGGCTTGAGGACAAGAGTGATGCACTGCACTAGGAGTCCAGGGTGGGCTGCGAGGGTGCATCAGAGTCTCAAAGCAGAAAAAGAACCTCTGAGCAGCTGCTGGACCTGGCTACTCCTTCCATTGGCAAGGCTCTGGCCCCAGGGGTGAACAGGGCCTGGTGTGCAGGTCCTGCAGTCCCCAACAGGCCCCACCTGCTCGTGGAACTCGACACCCATGCTCAGTGTGTTGACGAGGATGGCCACCATGATGCCACGGTTGAAGTACTTGCTATCCACAATGCGGCGCAGCTTGCTGCTGAAGGAGGCCCAGAGGCGGCCCAGCCCACCTGGCTCGCCAGAGGCTGCCTGCCCCTGTGGTCTCCGCACACTGCCCTGGCTTGGTACATCCACTGTGGGGGATGGCCGAACGGAGTCCCGGCAGTCACCATGCCGCACATCCTGCGTGAATTCATAGACCCCGTGGGCATCTGAGTCCCCACTCTCTGAGCCGCTGAACTCAAACTCGGGGTCCTCCAAGGCGCTGGCACAGTACGGGCAGCTCTTCAGTGCACAGGTGAGTGTACCCGCAGGGGGGCTAGGCAGGGAGCAGGGCACATTCAGGCCTGACAGGTGACTGGGGGTCCGGCCCAGGCCTGCAGGAGGGCACAGATGGGTCAGAGTTGCACAGTGACACTATACCTAGAGTGCCCAGAAACCCACACCCACACAGATGAGGGTGTCTTGTCCCAAAGAAAGACCTATTCATGCCCCAAGCCCAGAGCTTATAAGCGGGACCTCATGCAGAAATGGATCCTTTGCAAAGGCCATGAGTTAGGGTGATGTCACCCCAGAGCAGAGAGGGCCTTGACCGAATGGGTATCCTTCAGGAAGGGGGAAAGCCATACAGAGAGAAGAGTGATGGCCACCAGGAGCTGGGGGGAAGATGGGTCCTTCCCTGAGCCTCCAGAAGAAACTGACCCTGCAACAACCTGGCTTTGGGCTTCCTCCCTCCAGGACTGAGGGTCATTTCCTATTGTTCTAAGCTGAAAGACACATCTGCCAGCACACACCTGGGTACATGTGTGAACCTGCGGACTCTCACACAACTGGGAACATACTTGTATACCTATGTACCGTCACACACACATATGCCCACCAGTGTACTGTCTCATATACCTGGGTACATGCATGTGCACCTGCACAATCACACACCCAGAGACACACGTGTGCACCTCATACTTGTGCATATATACTTGTGTATACATCTGCGCACATCTCACGTACCACAGCAAACATGCACACTTGTGCATTGTCACAGAGCTATGTGCAGCCATGCTTTGTCCCCCACCCCAGGCATGCACATGGACACTTGTGCACAGTCTCACACATCTGAGCACACACACTTAAGCAGTCTTGCGCACTTGTACATATCTATACACTGTCTCTCACATCTGGGCACATGTACATCCTTATACATGTCCCGTGTGTGTGGATACATACATCCATCACTCACAGTGGCACTCCTGTCACACTGAGTGTGGACACTAAAAGGGCAGAGAAGCTTGCCCTGAGGTTGCACCATCCATGAAAACATAAAAAACATGAAAACAGGCTGCTGGTGGGCAGCTGCAGGAAACAAATTCGCCCAGCACAGCCCCACAGCTATCGTTCCCAGAGAACCTGCTGAAACTCTGGAGCCCCTGCTTCACACCAACAGCATGCCGTGTTGCAGGCTCTGAGATCCCTCTCACGGGCAGTGCAGGCTGGAGGCATGTGTGTCCAGAGTATCCTGGCACTCCCAAGCCCTCCACCACTGGTACAAGTAGACTTGGCACATCCCCACCACAGTGGGCACCTCCCCCATCCTCCACAGGACCCAGCAGGGCCTCCAAGTGAGCACAGAAGCTGACCACCTGGGTATCCTGGGGTTTCCCCTCTATTCCCTGTCCCAAAAGGGCCGATTCTGAGTGGAAAGGACCCCACTGCACTGGGCTGGCAGCACTTTCCTGACCCTCAGGGACTCTCTGATCCTGACTTCCTCTCCTATACCACCCCAACCTTAGCTTCCACACTTCAAAAGAGGACAGCCCTTGTGGTCACTAAGGGCTCTGCAAGTCTTCGGGGCCATGGTTGGGACAAGAACATGGGCACATGGTCCTTCTCTGGCCAGGCAGAGTCAAGGGAAGTGGGCCAGGGACCTTGATAGACTGTCTTCACCGGACCGAGAGTGCTATCTTCCTGGTCACACTCTCCTGCATTGGGCTGTTGGCTGCCTGGGTTCACTGTGCAGGGAGGGTGGGTAGAGGCAGGGCCTGCCTTCCCTTCTGATGGTCACAGAGTTGGGGCAGGGGTGACACCCAGAGCCTTACCCTGCCCTACCTCCCTCTTCCTCCTCTGAAGGGTGGGGCCAGAGTCCTCACCGTGTTCCCCAACTGCATGCTGGATCTTCTCACAGGGGTCAGGGCTGCCCAGGCTCAGGGGGCTGTGCCCTGTGGCCCCCAAGGTTCCAGCATTCCGCTTCCCCTTGGGCCTGGGGCTGGGGCTGCCTTTGCTTGAGGGCAGGATGGTGGGGTAGTTCATGGTGCCCAATCCCGAGGCTAGCTTGAGGTTTGCTGTGGCTGTGGCTGCAGCATGAGCTAACCGTGCCCTCTCCTGTGGCCCCTCCACATGGCAGTCAGCATGATAGATACTATGCACAGACTCAGAGTTGGGTGGCCCCTGGCCCGGGGAGGGTGGGCAGAGAGGCACACCAGCCCGGACCAGCCTGGTGTCACTAGGGTCAGGATTGGGCCTGCGAGGCCCACCATGGCTGAAGTGGTAGTGGTGGTGGTGGTGGTGGTGATGGTGGTACACCAGATGGTGCACAGAGGCTGCACGCCTGCCTGCCTGCCGCTGCCCGGGACCCTGGCCATGGAGGGTGGCACTGGGGTCTGCCTTCTTATGCCAGCGGCTCTGCCAACGGGCATAGAGCCGAAGGCTACGGCGCTTGATCTTGCGGAAGACATGGCCCATGTACTTGAGCAGCTCCTCGTAGCAACTGCCTGGTTCCGAGAAGCTGGCCAGTGTGCTGTCATTGGACAGGTAGCGGGCACGCTGCTCACGCATCAGCTGGTTCTCCCGCTGCTTGGTCTCTGAGAACTGAGTGGCGATCACTACCAGGCACAGGTTGATCATGAAGAAGGAGCCCACCTGTGGCAGAGTGGGCGTGACCATCAGCCTGGCTCCATGCTGAGCCCTCAGCTGCATTCTGAGGGCTAGGATCCAGCCATGATACTATGGTGGGAATGCCCCCCATGGGACATAGAGCAGATACTTTGTACTCGCTTGTGGGACGGGGAATAACCCAGTACCTCCCCCAAGGTCACCTTGCCCACCTTTTCAGGTCCATCCAGACATGATACCCCACTGCTCTCCCCAATCCTGAGGGCTGGTATCCTCAGCTGGGGCTGCCATCAACTCCCCTCCATGCATCCCTCCTGTTTGCTGAGAACACACATGGTGTCCATCTGTCTCTCTCCCTGCTGAGTCCCTACAGGTGGCTCCCATGCACTCAGGGGCTGGCAAAGCTCTGCTTGCTTCCTGATAAACTGACCTGTCCCTGCTTGGGCACCAGAGTCATAGGAAAGAACATAAGAGCCACACTGGGGGCTTGGAAAACGGGCTTCTTCCACCTCAGTTTCTCCCAACCCTGCAGCTTCCATCTTCCCTGCCCATCCACTATAGGCTGGACAGAAGCCCCTGATCACCCCAGCCTGGGTAGCCCTGAGTCCCTGCAGCCTCTGCCCAGGCAAGCACAGGGACCCTCACACAGTAGTCCCATCCTCTCCCATTACACACTGTATTTCTGGAGCTGAATGCCTGCCCGCCTAGTCCACACTCACAATGATGAGCAGGATGAAGTAGATGAAGTTATAAAACGAGTGGGCGTCCATGACGTAGTACATGATGTCTACCCAGCCCTCCAGTGTGATCACCTGCAGTGAGGGAGGCAGTGACTTCAGGACAGAAGCAGATGCCATGTCCTCTAGGATAATGGCTCTCTCAAGGGAGCCTGTCCCATGCCCTCAGTGCCCCACTGTGACAGGGACCCTGTGGCTTGGTGCCTACCTGGAAGATGGCAATCCAGGCATAGCCAATGTTGTCAAAGCTGATAGCGCCATTGTGGGGGTTGGAGTCCCCTGAGCGGCAGACATTATAGTACTGGTTCCAGTTGATGCAGCCGTTGCGGCCAGCACCTGCAGCCTCAGCTGGTGGCTGCCCATACGCCTCCCAGCCTAGCGTACACTGCACACGCAGCTCGCGGCGGCTAGGGATATGCGAGCACTTCTGCATGCCATTGTCACGGCGTGAGGAGCAGATGAAGGGGTTCTCCTCACCCTCCTCTGGCTGGTAGTATGGCCTCAGGAAGGTCAGGTTGTTGTTCCTGGAATGCCAAGACTGAGGCTCGGGTGAGGCCACATACACTCCTCTTTCTCTGCCCAGCTTTGCCTGTCCAGGGCCTACAGGCCTGATCCTGCACTGGCACGCTGGCTTTTGGAAAGTGACCACCCTGGTGGAACCCCCTGCTGTTCCTCCCCTGGGCCCTGACCGCTAGGGACTGGCAGACAAAACAGGATGATGTGGGTAAAGAGCCCACGGGGGATAACCACAAAGCAGACTCACCCAGCTCCTTCAACCCTAGGAGCCCTGGACCTGCCCTGACATCATCCTATTGTTCCTGCCCTCTTCCCTGACAGCCCCACTCCTGAGCCAGCAGGGCCTGGTGAGTGGGCCAGGGGATCTCTACAGCTTCAGGTCCACTGGAGCCCCCTCCCAGCACCCCCTTTCAGACCCCACCAACCCACCCTCCCTCCACAAGGTCCCCCAAAGCCCTGAGTTCCATGAACCCAAAAATCAGATGCCACCTCAGCAGGCAGCCAGGCTGTAAGTCTCTGTGTGCTGGGCACTGGCAGCATGGGTCATCTGTAGGGCCTGGTAGAGGTGGGTACCTAGTAACACTGCAGTCACCTTCCAGGGTAACCCCGGCAGGCCACCAGCTCCAGGCCGCATGGGTCCAGGATGAAAGGGATAAAAGCCCCTCCCTGTAGCAGGAAGTAGGAATGCAATGTGCATGCCAGGTTGCCCACCCTGAGAGCTGCAAGGGAGCAAGGACAGACAGGAAGTGGGTATCTGTGGTCCACTATTCCTTGGGAGGAAGGCAGTAGGACAAGCTCCAGCTTCTGCTCTAAGGCAGGCTTCCAGGACTATAGACTCCTGGTGTTAAAGTAGTAGCAACACATGGATCAAGCTGCCCTGGGGAGTGGCAGCCTCTACCTCAGCTCCCCCAAAGCCTGTCCCAAAGTATCTAGCCTTGCACCCACATCTCCATCCTCCCATGCTCCTGGGGACCATCCTGCTGCTGTACACAGGCTCCAGGTATGCCCCACTGCTATAGCTTTGTCCCGAGCAGGGCTGAGTACCCCAACACAGAAGCGTGAGAAAGCCCTCTGGTCATGCACCTGGACCCACCCAAGACCTCTGGGGTCCAGCAGGGCAGGGCTGGGCATCCCTGGAGCTGGGTACCAAGAGAAGGTAGATGAGTAGGGCGGCCAGCCTAGTGTGTCCTGTGGAGTCAGAACCTGATGCTGGAGTCCATAAGAACAGACACGTGCAAGGAGAAGAGAGAGACACAGAAATAGAGGAGGAGACCCAGGGAGGAAAAGTGAACTAGAACCCAGTTCCCATTATGGACTGCAGTCACCTGGCAGAAAGACTCTGCAGAGTGGGAGAAGCCTCACATAATGAGTGTGGCATGAAGGAACCTGGTAAGTGGTGTCCTAAAGGGAGGAGACTGGGGTGTAGCCTGCAAAAGGGGAGAAGCCTCACAAAGGGGTAGGGCCTGCACACCTGACAAAAGCGCTATCCAGGAAGCAGCGGTTCCTCAGCAGGCCGGCCCAGAGCTGCACACCCACAATGCCGAAGATGAAGAAGACAAAGAAGCAGAGCAGAAGGACATTCCCGAGCATGGGCAGCGTGTCCAGCAGCAGGGTAACCAGGATCCGCATACCTGTGGAGGCAGGAGAGGCAGTCAGCATGCTGACAGGGGTCAGGTGAGTCTTCTGGTTAGCTGCACCATGCTCCCCAGCCTGATGTGCAGGCCTGAGTGATGCTCCTGGGTCAGAGCTGCACCTAGAGGGGTGCAGTGAGTGAAGGCAGGGAAGTCCCTACTCCTTCTCGAGGAGTGAGAGGTACAAAACGGGGGGGTAGGCCTGACCACACAGCATCCCAGGTCCTTGGGTGACCTGCTGGGAGACCAGTGGCTCCAAACTGTCTGAGGCCCCAAGGAGAACAGCAGCCTCAAGGAACCCAACAAGTGGGGCTCTAAAGTAGGAATGAGGCTTTCTGTCTCAGTCCCAGTGGGAACCACACTGAGAAGAACCATAGTTCCATGCTGAGAGGACGTAAGGGCAGGCTGTGGCTTCTTGAGGCAGTTTTGAAGCCTGTGCACTGTGCAGTGGGCTGTGTGCACTTGAGCAAATTCAGGAAGCAAGTTGGCCATGGCCAAGTGCCTCTGGCTCTGTCCTGGGCCTGCCTATCCCTAGGCTTCAGGCAGGATAAAGCTTCAGTCAACAGAACCCAAGCAGGACCGGGCTAATGTTGCAGGCAGAGTCTGGGCTAAAGGGCCAGGAACAAGGGGATACCAAGGTCTCTTGGGGTCCCTGAGGGTGGTGATGGCAGACTGGGCCCACAGGTCACGGGGGAGTCCAAGCTAGAGGGGACACTGAAGTCTCAGACACACAGAGAGAGAAAAAATCACAGGAGATGGGCAATAAGCAAGCTCCATCCCAGCCAGATAGCAACTGGTTCCAAGCTCATAGTTCCAGGGGTCAGAGTAGAACCAATAGACAGGAGAATGCAGCCCTTAACTATCCTGGGGCTCCTCATGGGGGCCAGGGCCCAGCCTGGTGAAGTCCCCTGTTTGGGACAGGACCACATGCATTTAATCTGTCACCTCACTGCTCTCATGGGCGGGAGCACATGGAAGGGCTATCAGCTCTGCTGATGAGACTAAACATGCTGAGGGTGCCAGAAAGTACCAAGAGTTACATGTGCATCCCTTCACTGCCATCCTGGGAGTACCACTGTTGTCCATGGTTAGAGCAGGAAACTGGGCCTCTGAGGGGTTCAGTAACTTGCCTGAGGTCATATAGCACTTGAGCCCAAACTGACCCTTTCAGATTAGAGCCGGGGAGGAAGGTGGAAGGCAGGCATCTGGCCTAGGTGTAGCTGACAACTGGGGGAGCTGTGGACAAGCTTGTGTAGCAAGGCTACCAGGACGCAGGTCATGTGGCCAAAGGGCATGAGCATACCACATGTGGGCCCAAAGAGCTATGCCTGTACAGGGGTGCACATTTCTGCACTACCTTGAGGCTTGGCATCCCAACCCTAACACTGAGTACTCTGAAGAGAAACCCTAAACTATTCCCAGATACAGGTGAAAAGGCAGTGTCCACACAGGTGATATCCAGACACACAGCCACGATTCCTGAACTCCCCTCCCTGTGGCATGAACAGGTGCAGCAGGTCTCCCTTGGCCCTCTTTACAGCTGTTAGCAGAGGCTTGGAGTTTTCCCTGCAGGTGTGGCTGCCTGGGCAGGGCTCTGTCACAAGGACCAGGTGCTATGCTGGTGTGTTCTACTGGGCCACCACACCAGTGTCCTCTCCTCTGGCTGGGTTCTGTTCTGGGACAGAGATCTCCTTGTTCTCCTGCCCCTCTGGGAGGGGGAGGTTTTGGAGAACCCCCAGGACAGCTAAGCCATTCCCACATAAGTGTCTCTACCACCCACAGGCCATGCTGGAATTGCCAGTCAGTGATGCCACCTGCAACCTGTTCAGCTCCCAACCTTGCCCCAGATGCTGTTTTGAGGAGGAACCTGAGATTCAGAGTGATTCCTGTCACTCTGCACTGGGCCCTTTACACTTTGACTTTCCATCACACCTCAGCTTAGATTTCCCCAGAAAGGAGGCAAGTCCTCCAGGACCCAGGCCAGCCAGCAGCACGTGACTTCCTCTCCCCCTTCTTTCCTTGTGCCAGGGCCTGAGCTGGGCAGAGGAACCTGAAGCTGTCACCCCCTCACCCCAGTCCTGGGCCCAGGGTCTCTCACAAAACTCCAAAGAATAGACATCTAGCTTACCAAGGACGGTGGACACTTACTAGGCACGCGGTTGATGGCACGGAGTGGCCGCAGCACGCGCACGGTACGGATGGCCGAGAGGCTCACATTGTGCCCGTCCAGGGAGTACTCCATCATGCTGGGGAAGAGGAAGCTCAGGGGAGGAGCTGCAGGAGGGGCCATGCCCCCAAAGAGCTGGCACCTCAGGGCCCCCTGCATACTGACCCACAGGGTATCCATCTCTCTTCTGTCATGTACTATACTTGGAGACCAAGCACATACCTTTCTCCCACCCTCCTACCCACCAAAGGCCAAGCTGCGCACCTGCTCAGCCATGTCCCAGATTTGTGCCTCCTCTTTCCCTCCCTGAGGGGACTGGGGGTGGTGCCAAGGGGGCTCTCCTGAGTGCAGCCAGGCACCCCACCATACCCTGCCATGACAATGAAGAAGTCCAGCCTGTTCCAGGTATCACCCAGGTAGCATTTCTGACCAAAGAGCCCGAGGGCCACCATCTTAATAACCATCTCCACAGCAAAGAAGGCGAAGATGAAGTCATCAAAGGCCTAGTGGAGGACAGGTGGTGGGGGGGCACAGATCAGGCCAGGAGAAAATCCCCACTCTACTCAAGGCCCCACCCACCAGAGATCCACCCAGCCCTACCCTGGAGGCCTGCCCTACCTGAGGCCCCAACTAGAGCTAGGTCCTGCCCCCTGCGTGTGTCCCCCCCGCCCGCCCCCCCACCTCCAAGATGCTACAGCGCTCAGAGCGGCAGGCGACGTCCTCACAGGGCCGGAACATGCCGAGGGTCACGCAGTTGAGCATGATGACCAGCATGCTGACGTGCTCGAACCATGTATACATGTTAAGGACCACATTCAGGAAACGTCCTGCCCCTCAGCTCGGGACTGGGCCTCAGGGTAAGGACGTTGTCATTTTGAAGGTGGCCACCAGGTGGTGCTGTGATACCCCTCCACAATGCTCTCCCCCTCTTCACTGGGGCTGCTCTGTAGTCTTAAGGCCGGGGCAGGGTAGCTTGCCCGGCCCTGACCACCCCAGTGGCTCATCAAAAACTTGGGTGCAGTAGCGCACAGCGTGGCTGTCACGCCCAAGGCCCAATATGGGCGACTTGGGGGGTCACCCATGCATCCCACCCAGTAACCCACACAGGACCATCCCACCCCAGGCCTGCAGCCAAAAAGGAGAAGACAATGGAGACCACTGACCACCAGGAATGACCTTTCTTAAAGAGGTGCACACTCACAATCCCAGCACTCTGGGAGGCTGAGGCAGGAGGATTCCAAATAGCCTGGGCAACAGTGACTTAGCAAAACCCCATCTCAAAAAAAGGATTAAGGATATAGCTTAGTGTGAAGGCCCTGGGTTAAATCCCCAGTCACACACACACACACACACACACAGACACACACAAAGGATGAAGGAGGATGCAGCTTTTGGAGCCAGCCATGGGAAGCACAGTCCTGACAGTAGTACCCTGACCCCACACCACAGGGACCAGGAGTGACAGGGATGGGGCGCCCACCCTCACACCAGGCCAGGCTCCAGGCTGTGCCCTAGGGTTCAACTCTCCTGGCAGGTGACCCTGAGCAGGTCATTTACCTCTCAGCCTCAGTGCCCTGCAGCCCCCACTGTCCCCTCATCAAGATGATGGTGACCAGCTGCCACACAGAACCCTGACCTGCACACAGCCATATGCCAGTGGTGCCTTGAGAAGGCACGTAGGAGCACTGGGCATGGGGGCTGTGTGGGCTGCCCGGGCTGTGACCTCAGCCCTCAGGGACAAGTAGAGGACAGTCCCAGGAGGTTCAGGCCCCAAGAGGTTTCGGGCTTCCCTGCCCATCAGGCTAGGCCTGGAGCTGAGCAGGGGGACACAGGGCTACCCTCCTGTGTGTCCCCCATCCCAAGGGACCCTCTGGCCAGTCCCTGACTATCTTCCCTTTTTTGGTGCCAGGCCCCCAGCCCACGGGGGCCTTGCATGGCGGTGCCAAGCCACCACTGTAATTACATGTTCCTGCGGAGCGTGTCATAATTACACTTAATGGGTTCAACGGTAACAAGTGCCTCTGCCATAATGGGGCTGTGGAAAACAGAAATCAGCCTCCCACTAGGGCAGCTCAAATCTTCATCCTTGGGCTGCAGAGCCCTCCTGCCTGCACCTGCCCCCACCCACTCATGGGAGGGTACAGCTCCAGACAGCACCACAGGATACCCACCTGTGCCCTGGCTGTGCAGAGCTTACTCACGAGACGACGCAGGGCTCAGCTGTGCCTACAGGGTCCCCAGCACCTTGGCCTCCTCTGGCCTCCAGAGCCTGTGGCTCTGCCCTCCTCCCTGGGCACCTCTGTCCTGTAACTGCTATGTATGCCCTCTGTGGCTCAGTGGGGGACTGTCATTTCCCAAGGGTGTTCTGGGTTAAACAGAGCAAGGAGGGGGGCACATGGGCTGTTGGGAAGGACAGTACAGGCAGAGGGACAGTATGGCGTGGGCCTGGGCAGGAACCAACAAGGAAAGACAATCAAGATGAGGCTGGAGAGCTGCCTGGCCTAAGGCCACAATCCACTTGGCTGGGCCCTTCTTCTTGCAGGGCAGCACTCTCACTGCAAGAGAGGGTTCTGGGCAGGTCCAGGCCGGGGGGATGGAAGGGGAAGACACAGGCATCGCTGTGTCTCGGGGAGGCTCGGAGGGGTCAAGGGGTTACCACCTGTTCCATGACTATGTCCCTGGGACTGGGACCTTCTTCTTCCTACCAAGCTCTCCTCCAACCTCAGGTTGGCAAACACTGCTTCAGCAGTGGCCTCCAGCCCACCCTGACTGCCCCTACCCATCTCCAGCCTGCTGCCTGGTTCCTCCCAGGCCTGCCCCACGTCCACTGAGACACTCCTCCCCTTCTGCAAGGAGGTACAGGCTGGAGCTGGAGTGATATCCACCACCATATGGGTGTGTGCCCTCTCTCACCTGGCTGGCCTGCCAGCACAAGCCCATCAGCCACCTGCCAGCCCCCAGCCACTACTAAGACTACAATGTAGCATCCCCTGGTGCTGAGGAGGACCCAGAGGACAGGGTGAGGGGGATGAAAAGGGAAGGTCCCTGGGTCTTGGGGAAGCTTGGAGGAGGCCTGCCCAGAACACTGGCTCTAACAGTGGAGCAGACTGAGCCTGTTCCAGGATCTCGACAGGTGCCCACATTCTGCCCACAGGCCAAGAGGGACTGGCAAGCTTGGGGCCACTCTCCAGCAGGTACCACCAGTAATGCTTCTCAAAAACAGCCTGCTTCAAGGTTTCAGGGCCAAGTCCTATCTCTTCCACTCCAGTGCCCTCTGCTATGCCACCTAAAACCCTTCCGAGTCCTGGTGGCTAGTTCCCTGACTGGGAATCTTCTGGGGGCCAGGGGTTCCAGCAAGTCCCTGAGCTGTGAGTCACCCCAAGTACACACTGCCAGCAGACTCCCAGGCAGTACCATTTCATATGCAGATACACCCCACTCTGGTAGCAACAATCTGTAAACCACTGTGCTTCAGACACCAGCCCACCCTGGCTGGGTACCAGGAGACACCAGTGCACAGAGACCTTAACATTTGGCCAAGGTCATACCGTCAGGATGCCTAGCTGACTTGAATCTAGAGATGCCCCACAGCAAATCCTCAGCCTCCCCTTCCTCAGCATCCTGTAGTCAGATTCACACCAGAATAAAAACCAAATTCTACAAATTAGAATCAATTTCCACTATGCGTCAGTGGAAGCAAGGTTATGTGCAGACAGGAGGCAGGGTTGGAGGAACAGCCAGGGCACTCAGTCAGGTAGGGTTGCAGGCCTGGGTCCCTTCTGGAGGACTAAGGTGGCCTCTCTCATGGGCTCCCCAGGTCTGAAGCTGGTGAGCAGCAAGGGATGAGAAAGAAGCCCAGAGAGAGGCTGAGAAGGGGCCCCAGGTGGCCCTGTGGTGAGGAAACCTGTTAGGCACAGGCCCATACTCCGCACAACTCACAGGACACACTATTATCCTGGACAGCCTCCTCCCCACTCTCCTTCCCTCTCATCTGTGGGGTCAGCAACCCCCACACACCACCAAGGTCCTACCCGGACTCTGGCTCTATAGTCTCTCTGAGGACAGACACCTTTTCTCAGACCCTCAGGCCGAGCAGCACAAAGCCATGTGGCCCAGCCCTTGGTGGCAGAAAGGGGCCTATCTGTCAGCCCAAAAAGGATTATGTTGAAGTCCATGGAAGTATCCACAAGCCTCTCCACAGGGGCACTTTCTGAGGGGCTTGGCTCCAATGCACCCCAAATAAATACCACAAAAGTCGCTCCAAAGCTGGGGATGGTGGCACACACCTGTAACCCCAGCTACTCAAGCAGGCTGAGGCAAGAGGCTCACAAGTTTGAGCCCAGCCTGGGCAACTTATCGAGATCCTATCTCAAAAATTCAAAAGGGATGAGGGGTGGAGATATAGTTCCATGGAAAGGCCTTGGGTTTAATCCTGAGTACTTAAAAAAAAGAAAGAAAAGAAAAAGCAACCCTAAGCCAGTGTAGTGGCCTATGCCTGTAACCCTAGCACTGAGGAGTTGAGGGAGGCTGAGGCAAGACGGCAAGTTCCAGAGTTAAGAGTCCCACCTGGGCAACTTAGCAAGACCCTGTCTCAAAAAAATATAAAATAAAAAGTGCTGGGGATGTAGCTCACTAGGAGAGTTCACACGGGTTCAATGCCCAGAACTGCAAAACAAAACCCAAAACCACACAGCCTCACAAGGATTCTAGAAAGCAGGGGGTTGTGGGTGCTGTCCGTGGTGCTGAAGCAGCCCTCCTGCTAGGGCACATCCAAGGAGTGCAGGGCTGGGTACAGAGCAAGTCTGGGAGGGGTGAGGGCAGGAGGGGTGTCTGAGGAGCACATTAGCCTCTGCCTTCACTGAGCAGAGCAGGCTACCTTTCCAGAAAACCACTGCATTCATCTATGCTTTCTCACTCCAGGGAGTCTAGCGGAAAACCCACAGGGCCACAATGGCCACAATAGTTCCAGAACGTGCCTGTTGATGGAGATAACAATGGCCTTTATACCTTGTCCTGGGTTCAGCTCCAGGAACCCAGAAGCTGCATACCACTCTGTGGAGTGACAAACCTAGGTGGACACCAGCATTCCTGCACCAAAGCTACATAGGGTCTGGTAGGCAGAGACTTCTGTGCAGTGTAGCCGGTAGGGCCTCAGAGGCCATACTGTCCTGTGGAGGGGGCAGGGGTCCTTGGACAGGCCTGCATGGCTCTGGATCACCCAAACCTCAGTGTTCTTTTTCTACAAGCAGCTTAGTGTAGCTCCCAAGCTGGCCCCCTTACCACCCCAGTGACATCCCCATGATGGAGTTGGGAAACTGGAGCCTGACCCTAACTACACTACCAGCCCCTTAGCCTCTATGAGTCTCAGTCTCCCCATATGTACAGTGGGCGTCATGACACTTTCTCTTCCAGGCACTGAGGAGACCCATGCAGACCCCTCTAGACAACAATCTACAGGGCCTTGAATCCTCCCGACATGGGCTCGGGCCATCACTCCTCCCCCACACTGAGGCATCTGTTTGCAGGGGAAGGAACGATGTCTCCACAGGTCAGGACAGGGGTGCTGCTGTCCCTCACTTAGATGGTCAGGGGCACACTGCCACGTGCTGGCTGCAGATCCTCAGACCAATGGGAAGCATGGCCATGGTAGGGGGATGAGCGCTGGGCAGGCCAGGGATGGCTGCTGCCCAGCCCCTCAAGATCAGAGTGGCTCCCAGGGACTCTGGGCAGGGTTCCCTGCTGGTCTGAACCATGCAATCAGGGTGGACACCACAAAACCCTGCTGCTGGGAAGATCACAAGCCACCCCAGTCCTGTCCACTGGCCCTGGAGC